TTTACGCTATACGCCGAAATTACAAATAATGGATTTACCAGATATGGTATATTATATATAAAGAATTATTTAAATATTTATACTAAAAAAAAATATTATTTATTTTATAATTAATTTTATGAGGGGTTTGTTTTTTTTTTGTCTAGAATGAATCTGCATGTAAACATTTTGATGAACAGATCAGATTATATGGAAATCAATTAATAGTTAATCTTGTTAACAAGAAAGGATATGAATATCCAGTTGGTGCAGCATACCAAAAAGTTGTTACTGGTTTAAATAATCCTAGAATAAAATATTATCATTTTGATTTTCATCATGAATGTCGAAATATGAGATGGGATAGGATCCAACTTTTGATTGAAAGCATGGAAGAGGATTTATTACAACAAGGGTTTGTATTAAAATTATCTTGCGTGAATATAAATGTGTTAATTTCCAAACAATTAATACATGTATATATATATTATCAAGATATTTTCATGGAGAGGAAACAAATTCAACTATATCAGTTTATAAAAATCAAACATCCGTTATTCGTACCAATTGTATGGATTGTCTTGATCGTACGAATGTTGTTCAATCAACTTTTGCCAAATGGATGCTAACTCAACAATTACGTGAGTTAGGAGTATTGAGTAGTAAACAAAGTATTGATGAGATTAGTGGGTTTATGGAACCTCTTTTGAAGATGAAGTTTATTATATTGGTGAAATTCCTTATCAATGTGGAATTTTAGATTGTGGAATAACAATCTTAATTATATTGAAGAAGAAATTGGAATAAGTAATAAATCATGGGATAGAAAATATCCACTTATTTTAGACTTAGATACTTGAGTCTAATTCTAAATTATGATTTAGAATGGTTCAGCAAATATACATGGTTAGAATCTGAAGAAAATAATCAAGAAATATTAATTTTTTGCAAACTTTGTAGAAATGGAAATGGAACATCAAAATTTTTGAAGGGTACAAATGTTTTAGACTAGATAAAATCAAAAAAAATTCAAACATAAAGAATCAGAATTAATGTTACTTAATTCATATCAAATTGAATCTAATAGAGATAATACAGAACAATCAGATTAAAAAAAATCAATTATTCCATTAATTATGAATAATTATTTTTGTTCAAAACATAATATTCCATTAAATGTTTATTCTAATTTGTGTAATTTAGTGACTTTACAAACTGGAAATAACATTAGTGATAAAATTTCTATTCTAAAGCCAGCTTCCTTAGAAAAACCATCAAAGCCTAAATCAAAATATGGAAGCTATAAAAGTCCTATTGCTGCATGTGATTTTTTAGATAGTATAGCCCCAGTAATAAAAAATTCCCTTTTTGAAGAGTTAAATTCTTCACCTTATTGGAGTATAATGATTGATGATGCCAATAGTATTGATGGAAATAAACATTTAGCAATTGTGGGAAATATATTGCTAATAATATGTCAATTATAAGATATTTAGGCTTGATTGATTTAGAGTCAACAGATAGTGAAAATATTTATAATAAAATCAAACTATTTTGTATTTCAAATGAGATATCATATCAAAATGTCAATTCATTTTGGAAGTGATGGTGCCTCTAATATGACTGGGTATAAAAGTGGTGTTGCTGCAAGATTTAAAAAAAAATGAATCCATTCGTATCTTCAAACCATTGTGTATCACATAGACTTCATCTAGCAGGAGAAGATGCTTCAGATGAAGTCATTTATTTTCAAAAATATGGAAAAACATTATGAGCATTATATGGATACTTTTCTAGATCACATAAAAGACAAAATATTTTAAAGTTAATGCAGGTGATTAACTATTTTCCAAATTATTGAATATTTGCTTTATTAATTTTATTTTATTAACTGGCTTTTATCCAAATATTAGGAAATTAATGAAGAACCACAACTTAAAGTTCTAAGATTATGTGATACTTGATGGCTGTCATTTTCAAATGCTGTGAATAATTTACATCAAATTATGAATTCTGTTCTTGCTGCTATTAATGATGATGTGATGGAAGGTGATAAGCAAGCAGGATTTTTATTGGATCAATTAGATTAAGAATTTATTTCTGCAACAATGTTCCTTGCTGATTTAACAAATATCTTAAAAAAGTTAATCAATATATTTCACCTTAACAATACAATTAGAGAGATAACATCTGAATTTATAGGCCATGAAGAAGTTCAACCAAATTATGGCACAATATTTGGAAGCTATTTAAATAATTCTGGTGGTTCAGTACCTTCATTTGTCAAAGAATACTCATTGGCAATAATAGATGCTATTAAAAATAGATTTCCTGAGCCTGAATTATATTTCTCTTTTAAAATTTTTGATCCAAAAGAACTTCCTGATAATGAGAGAGATTTATTCATATATGGAACAATTGAGATAGAATTTCTAGACAAATTTTATGGTGAGGATAAATATGTAGATGGTAGTCAATTTTGTGGAATTATTGAAAAGGAGAGCTAAGAAAAGAATGGTACTCTGTAAAATTTTACCTTCAATTTTACAAAAATACTGAATTGGAATTTATTCAATTGTGGAAATACATTTTGGATAATAATGAAACTTTTTCTTTTAATTATCCAATAACAACAATTATTCTTAAAATCACACTCATTATACCTCTTTCTAATGCTCATGTGGAAAGGATATTCTCACAACAAAATTTAATGAAAAGTAAATTAAGAAATAAAATGAATATTGATACTTTAAATAATCATTTGATGGTATTAAATGGGCCAGAAATAAAAAATTTTGATTTTGAAAAGGTATATGAACATAGCATAGTGGACTTTCGATTTTATCACTAAATGTGACATACAGTCACTGGAAAAAAGTATCGCTTCACCTGATGATCAGTGAAAATAATTGAATAACTCCGGTGATATAAAAAGTCATTATTTTACTAATTAAGTCGATGTTGTGAAATAACAAAAAAATCTTTTTCATAACAAATTCTATAACATACTCAAGTTCCACAAGATTCAATTAATTATTGGTAATTTTATAATCTTTAAAAGACAAAAAAA